AGGTCATGACCAGACCTAGACTGTGTCCTGCTGTGGTTCCATATATGTCTATGACTTTCCATCCATTACTGAGTAAAAGTTGTGAGCAGCCAGATAAATAAAAGTTCAGTAAAAGGGTATCTTTCTTGTGCAGACTTAACAAATGAAATAATTCATTAACTTATCAATGCCATAAACACTCAATGCATTAGTGTGGGGGAGAGATGAACAGATCAAGTCCCTGCCCTTACAGCGATGACAGCGTTGTGCAGAGAGTTACACCAACAGTCACAAGTACTTGACACCACTCTGAAGCTGAGCTGGCAGCATAGTAGGTACAAGGCAGGAAGAAATATCTGGGTCTGTCTGAAAGATCAGGGAACCTCCTTGTGAGGCACCAATAAATCTAATCACTTTGTAGTTACTGCCTACTAGGTACCATGAGAGATGTCAAAACTTGGCCAGGCATGATTAGCGTTAAGAGTCCAGGATGCCTAAAACTTAGCACTTGCTTTTTCTCTTCTCCAGAATGCTGGAAAATGGGAAATACATCCAAAGACAACTGGCCAGTAGATAAATAGGGTACAGAATTAATCTGTGTAAGCAAACTTTGCCTCCATGGAGGGTGTTCTGGTAAACTATTGTAGAAAATTCCAGATCTTCTAGACTTCAGGACCTGCATGCTCAGGTGTGCCTGCCAAGGTATAACTGGTCCAGCACACAGGACTTCCTCACATACCCAGCTTCAGGTGAACAGAGAGAAAACACGGCGGGAAGGAGGGTGGGTGGAAAGTGGGGCTCGGGAGGATATGGGAGTGTTGCATAAGGTATTGCCCAGGTGTTCTTACTGGATGGGAACAAAGTATACCAGAGAGCAAGAGGACATGCCAGGAAAGGAGAGCGACCTGTTAGATGTGACCCTGCTCCCTGGTGAACCAGGGGCTGTCATGCATCACCTATGATGATGAGTGAATCTGGGGAAAGGAGGGAAAGGAATACACTTCCCAGATATAAATTCCTCTTTTACAATGGATACTGAAAGGGGAATAATGAAGGGTGATGTCTGCATATGTATAAGCTGTATAAGAAAGATAGCCTGAGATGTAATTGGCCCATTTGTGTGCACAAAAGCAAAACAGAGGGACACTGCTCCACAGGAAAAAATAATTAGGGCAGAGAATACCTCTTAGTGACCACCAGGTGGCACAACAGACCAAACACAGCTTGGTTGTTGGTCCATCAAGTCTCGGGTACAGTGTGAAAGTTGGTTATCAAAACCCAGTGTGGCCAGACAGGCTCACACCTGTTATCCCAGCATTTTGGGAGGCAAAGGTGGGAGGATCGCTTGAGTCCAAGAATGTGAGACCAGTCTGGGCAACATAGTGAGACTGTGTCGCTGAGACTTTCTCTCTACTATATATATATATAAATTTTTGATAGAATGAAAAGATCCAGAGTGCTTACAATGCAATATTGTTCAGCCGTAAAAAAGGAAGGAAATTCCCATGTATGCTACAATATCAATGAATCTTAAAGACATTATGTTAAGTGAAATAAGCCAGGCACAAAATAACAAATATTGTTTGATTCCACTAACATGGAATCATCAAATTCATAGAGAAAGTAGAATGGTGGTTTCCAGGGACAGGAAGAAGGGGGAGTGAGAAGCTGTCATTTAACAAGTATGGAGTTCCAGTTGGGGAAGATGAAACATTTCTGGAGTCAGAGGATAGTGATGGTTGCACAATAATGTACTTACAAATGGTTAAGATGATTTTATGTTATTTTACCATAATTTAAAAAATAAAAACAAAAGACAATGCCCATACCATTCTCTTATACCTGCTTGAAGTCCAAGTGGTGGATGCACCTTCTAAAACAGGTGAGAGAAGGTAAAAGGTGTTTCCCCAATCCTGCCTGTCTCAGCCTGTCAGTGCCACCTTTCCTGCCCAAATCCTCAGTTCTCTCTTTGCACCTTGTTCACTTACTTATCATCAAATGCCTATTCAGTGTGGGCCTTGAGCCAGTCCTGAGAATGCATTCTCTAGGGGCCAAGCCATTCAGCAGCTCCCTCTCATCCACTCCATTTATCTTCCCCCAGCCAATCCTCAGGCCACACATTTTCTGCTTTCTTCTCTCACTCAACATCCATTAAAAAAAATACTGTCTTAGTTCATTTGAGCTGCCACAACAAAATACCTTCGACTGGGTAATTTATAACTAATAGAAATGTATTGCTCGCAGCTCTAGAGCTGGGAAGTCCAAGATCAAGGCTCCAGCAGGGGCCCATTCCTCATAGATGATGCGTCCTCTATGTTGCCACATCCTCCCGTGACGCAAGGGCAAAAGAGGCGAACAGCTCTCTCATACCTCTTTTATAAGGTCACCAATCCCATTCAGGAGTGCTCTACCTCATGGCTTAACCATTTCCCAAAAGCTCACCGTGTAATACTGTCACATTGGTGATTAAGTTTTAACATATGAATTTGGGACCCAGATCATGGCAAATACTTTTGATTCATATTTATTTTAGTTTTAAGACAGGGTTAGAAGGAGTAATAGGTGGGGTTTTCTAAAGAAAAAGTCGTTACTAGAGTGACTAAGGGCAGACACCAACAAGCCATCCTCTTAATCTAATTAGGCTAAAAATATGCAACAGCAACAAACAACCCTCACATTTCTGTGGCTTAACACACCAATAGTTTACTTTGTGCTCACATTACATGTCCAGTACAGATCAAGATGGTCTGCTCCACGTGGTTATTTAGACTAATGGAGGCTCCACCAACTAGAACGGCAGTCTCCGTGGTAGTTATAGGAGGGTAAGAGAGTGGAGAATTACAATTGGCTTTTCACTGCCTCAGCCTGAAAGTAACCCACATAGCTTCCCCTTCCATTTCATTGGTCAGAAAGAACCACATGGCCCTGCCTACCTGCAAATATTATATCTGTGTAGTCCTATTCCCTGCTATACTTTTTGACTCTGTGCTCTCACTGTACTAATAGTGAAATTCTGTTTCTCCTGAATCTGCTGCCCTCCCTGGACTCTCATCTTTAAGAATGGAGGCCTCATATTACTTATTATGTAACTTTGGGGCCTAGCACATGACGGGTGATCGTGGAGCGAATGAACAATGGCACAAAGTAAAGGTGAATCTAAAGGAACGTGGGGGCAGTCCCTGGGAGGATCAGTTTAGATTGAGCTTCCCTAACTGAAAAATGAAGCAGAGAAGGGCCAGAAAACAATGCTATCAGTTTGAAAAATGAAACCAAACCTTAATGAATAGAGTGGGACAGTCTGTGTGTAACACAGCTCATTGGTGGGGTGGGTTTCCGTAAACATCAAAACAGACTGCATATATAGAAGGGAAAATGGGACCCCCATGGGCACTAATGGCTTTGGAAAAAAAAAAAATCCCCTGGTCTCAGAGCAGCCTCATGGATAAACTAGGCACAGAAGAGTCTGACTTCTCTCTCATCACAAGTTTTTTGGAGCTTAGAAGGACTATGGTGCAATTCCTGGGTCACCATGGAAAAACCTTGACTTATCCAACTGTTGTATTATTTTTTTTTCTCTTGTAGAAGAAAAAAAGGACTTAACCCTACAGAATTGCTTCCTATTTCAAAAGCCGTCAGTTTTATTGACCTCGGCTTGCAAAATAAGTGGGTTAATCTGGATTCCAAAGATATTTAAGGATACTTTAAGTTATAAGTAGGATGACTATCCGTCCAGGTTTGAACCTGCTGTTCATGGTTAATTTATTAATAGCATGTCTCACAGTTCATTCGCAGAACTGCTTGGGTTTGGCCGATAAACTGAAATGTCATCCCAGTTAAAAGTAACATTTGTAATTAGCTGGAGAAAGGTGACGTGGGGTTCTAGGAAGGGACAGAGGAACAAACATTTCTGTTGGCTCAGCACGCCCAGAGTGTGTTGGGCTGGGCACCTAGAGGACCTGTTTCGGGACTGCCAAACGGGCCATTTTGCTGGGAGTAGCCCAGGTGTTTTAACCACTTCCTGAAGAACAAGGTCGGGTAAAAGAGAAGCGGGGGGTAGGCGTGAGTCACTGCCATTTGCTGACTTCCTGATCTTTGGAAGTTGCTTCAAGCAGCTGACCATCAGTTTCCTTATCTTCAAAACTGGAATAACAGTTTCCTTCCAAAGGCTGTCTTATTTAATTCACTTAACAGCAGCCACTATTATTCCATTATCGAGACGAATAAATAGACATTATGTGAAGGCAAACTGCCGTGATCAAGGCTCATCCTAATTCTAACAGCTACTACTGAGGAACCAAGTACTCAAGCAGCCTGTGCAAAGTCTCTGATTTCTAGAAGAGAAGACGGATACTTGGAGAGAGAACTTGAACAAGGTTACAGAACTCCTAAATGGCTTGGGAAAGGCTGATCCTAGGTCTGGTTCAGAGCCCGCGCTCTCACTGCATAAGGCGTATTTCAAGGGAGGAACCGGCAAGCGTCTGGCCCCACTCCTGGGACTCCATAGCCAATGCTCTTTTCCTCTTTTCGTTATACTGCACGGCTGGTCAGAAACCCATCGTGGAAGCAGATCAAACACAACAAAGGGCAGGGGGCTTTGGAAAACCGGGCGAAGTCGCGCAGACCGAGATGACCGGCCCCAGCAAATCGCCGGGGGCGGTATCGAGTGTCCTCCTCCCGTCAGCCCAGAAGCCAGGTCGCCTTTTAGACTTGCTCTCGTGGCGGGGAGGGAGCGTGGAGCCCCCTGGTCCGGCTAAGAGCTTACGTAAGGCCCGCGGGCGGCTGCGCCCCGGTCTCCCGTGGGTGTGCGCAGAGCCCCCAGCCCGGGGCAGGCCTTCCCCTGTCCGCTCCCCAAGTCTCTCGGCCCAGGACCGCGGGGGAGTCCCGGGACCACCGACCCCGCGCCCGCCGAGTCCGCTTTGGGCGGCGGCGTCCTCCGCAGCCACCCAGCTTCCCGGGGGAGGAGCAGCGCATCGCGCAAGCATCCGGGAGCGGCGGAGGGGGCGGGAGGAAGGGCGAGAGGAGGAAGCGGGATTTAAACGAAAGGCGGTGACGCCACACAAAAGATTTCTATAGGCTCCAGGGAGGTTACGGCCGAGGCGGCGGCGGCGGCGAGCCCGGGGGCGAGGTGCGGACGGGAAGAGGAAAAGCCTCCAGCGGCCCCTGCGGGCGGCGGCGCGGCCACGGCCGCGCTCCGAGGTGAAGCCGCGCGCGGAGAGGAAGCGGGTGTTTTCCCCGCTGCCTTTCGGCCCCCGCCCTTCCTTTCAGTTTCTCCCCGCTCGCTCGGAAGTTGGCGGTTGACAAAAATGGCAGGAGCCGGGGCCCGGGCCGGTTGCCGCAGCGCCGCGGGGACCTTCTGAGTTGGCCCGGCCGCGGGGAGACGCGTGCGGGGGCGTCCGATGCGCGGGGCCGGGGGCCTTGGGAGAGCTCATCTGCTGCGGGCCCCAGACGAGGAGGCGACGGGGATGGACTCGCGCCGACAGCCAGCGGCGGGCCGCCGGGCGCGCGGTCTGGGAGGGCGTGCCGCCGCGGCGCCGGGCCGCGCTCTGTGAACCGGCGAGGCGGGAAGGGGCCGCCGCGGCGCTCGGCACTCCCGGGCGTGGCGGGCGGGCGAAAGCTGGAGCGCGATCGGGGCGGCCACTGTGCGCAATCAGTGCAGGCTCCCGCCCGACTCTGACTCCGCGCGGCCGCGACAGCGGCCACACCCTCTGCCCTGCCGCCGCCGGCGCCGCTTCCCGAGAGCGGGAGGCAGGAGATGCGCCCCGGGCGGCCGCGCGTCCCAGAGAGCCGGCCCCGGCTGCCGTCGCGGGGAAGTGCCGCCTGGCAGGGTCACGGCGCCTGAAGCCCACGTGCGCCGCCGAGCCCGAGGTGGCCTCGAGCGCGGCGGCTGACAGCAGAAGCCGCCTGAGCTGCCTCCCGCGCTCCTCCCCGAGAAAAGGATTTTGATTTCAAAGAAAGGAAGGAAGGACAACTCCCAGCTTCCCCGTCCCGCCCTCCGCGCTCCGAGGGCCGGGCCAGGCCATGCCCAGGAAGGCAGCGGCGGCAGCGAACCAGCAGAAGGGACTTTCCTGGCAGCCCGGCGACGAGGAGCGCGGACAGTGAGTTTGCTCTGCCCCGGTTCATGGTTCCTGCAAGCCCTCTAGGAGGCCGAAAGCTGCAGCCCCTCCCCTTGCCCCGAAGAACCTCCCGCGTTCGCTGGCCCTCGGGCCCACCCCGCGCCGCCCCAGATCGCGCCGCTGCAGCCCAGTGCCCTCTGCCCGCGGCGGTGGATGGCATGATGGTGCGGAGAAGGCACCGCGGCCTTGGCCAGCTGAGTCGCGACGGCCGCCGGGGCGGCGGCAGTGGCCGCGGCAGCGGCGGTGGTAGCGGGCTCCCCAGCGGCATGCCAGTGCCCCCCGGGCGCGATGGCTAGCGGCAGTGCTGGGAAGCCCACTGGCGAGGCGGCTTCTCCGGCTCCTGCGAGCGCCATCGGCGGGGCGCGGAAGAGGCTGGTATCCGTCTGCGACCACTGCAAGGGAAAGATGCAGCTGGTGGCGGATCTGCTGCTGCTGTCGAGCGAGGCGCGGCCCGTGCTCTTCGAGGGCCCCGCCTCCTCTGGTGCGGGCGCCGAGTCCTTCGAGCAGTGCCGAGACACCATCATCGCGCGCACCAAGGGGCTCTCCATCCTCACCCATGACGTCCAGAGCCAGCTCAACATGGGCCGCTTCGGGGAGGCGGGGGACAGCCTGGTGGAGCTGGGCGACCTGGTGGTGTCGCTGACTGAGTGTTCGGCCCACGCGGCCTATCTGGCTGCTGTGGCCACGCCGGGCGCGCAGCCCGCACAGCCGGGCCTGGTGGACCGCTACCGCGTGACGCGCTGCCGCCACGAGGTGGAGCAGGGCTGCGCCGTGCTGCGCGCCACGCCGCTGGCCGACATGACGCCGCAGTTGCTGCTGGAGGTGTCGCAGGGCCTGTCGCGCAACCTCAAGTTCCTGACGGACGCGTGCGCCCTGGCCAGTGACAAGTCACGGGACCGCTTTTCGCGCGAGCAGTTCAAGCTGGGCGTCAAGTGCATGAGCACCAGCGCGTCGGCGCTGCTGGCCTGCGTGCGCGAGGTGAAGGTGGCACCCAGCGAGCTGGCGCGCAGCCGCTGCGCGCTCTTCAGCGGGCCCCTGGTGCAGGCCGTGAGCGCCCTGGTAGGCTTCGCCACCGAGCCGCAGTTCCTGGGTCGCGCGGCAGCCGTGAGCGCCGAAGGCAAGGCGGTGCAGACCGCCATCCTGGGAGGCGCCATGAGCGTGGTGTCGGCCTGCGTGCTCCTGACCCAGTGCCTCAGGGATCTGGCGCAGCACCCCGACGGGGGCGCCAAGATGTCGGACCACAGGGAGAGGCTGAGGAACTCGGCCTGCGCCGTGTCTGAAGGCTGCACCCTGCTATCTCAGGCTTTAAGGGAGAGGTCTTCGCCCAGGACTTTACCGCCAGTGAATTCCAATTCTGTGAATTAGCACCCCCCCATACCCCTTCTTCCACCCCAGACTAAAGGAAGATACTCTCTGTCCCTCTCCATTTATACCAAAGAAATCATAGGTGAAACCCCCTACCCTCCCCAACGTTAAATGCTCGAAAGGAATCTTCCACAGGGCAGGGCCATGCACACAACCTGCTCACGCACTGCGAGAGCCCAGGTGTGTCTGTCCACCAGCCCCCCACGCGGTAGGGACTGGAAGATGGTGTCATCTGCTGGCTGTGTTACCACTCCCGCCCCCTACCCCAGCCCGTCTTCCGGAATTTCTCAACTAAATCTTACCATTAATTGGGCAGGAAGGAGGTCATGGGTTCATTTCATTTTCGTTGTTTTTTGTGTTTTTAAGTCAAAGAAAGGTTACCTCAGTTTTCACTCCTTAGACATGGATGTAGCTACCTTGTTTTGTATGTCATTTTTTTTAAGCAATCGTGTTGAATTAGGAGTATACTTGGTGTGGAAAGAGTATGAATTTGCCATGTGATTTGCAAATGGGGGGAAGCTACTGTGAGTGTGTGTTTTATTTTTTAATTTACACTATAGAGTGATTTTTTTTCCCCCAACGTCAAGTTTTTACCTTGCATGTACTGGAGTATTTATTTCATCTATTAAAATGTTATGTTTCTCAGATGGCTTTTTGCAATGATTGTTGATTTTTCAATAATTGTAATTTTGCATGCTGCATGTCATGTATGGGAAGGGTCTTTGAGGAAGCTATTTCACTAGTAGTGAGTTGGACCCCTAATTCCCAATCCTTTCTGCTTTTTCCTCAAGAAAAAGTAATGTTCAAGAAGTACTCCCTTGAGCAGCCTGGAACTGAAAGGACTATGTGTAACATTCTGCTTTCAAAGGCAGGTGACACAAATGGACTTGGGTTATGTAGAGTGTTTGGGACAGTTTTGTCTCATTTTTCCTGGAAAGCGATTTAGGTACCTTTGTCTCCAGTTATCTTTTCATCAGGAACAGTGGCTCAGGCTGCCTGAATTCTGATTTGTATTCTCCCCGTCATTTTCAGATTAAAGCACCTCCTAATCCTGTGTGGTATGCCAGCCTTCCCATCTCAGAGTCTCTACGGATGGAACTGTTAAAAGTACTGTACGTCAAGTGAGAACAGTTAACATCTTTTATGTACACAGGTGTAGTAACACAAGATCCTCATGGTTTTAGAAAAAATATAGAGAGGCTCCTAGACTGCTTAATAGAGGAAGAAGTATCCTGGAAAGCATGTTCAGAACGTTCTAGAGCCACAACATAATTGTAGGCCAAGGGCCTATTTTTGTGACCTTGATCTAAGATAATTCCATGCTTGATTGTATGTTGGAAGAATGCTTTGTTGATTGAAATTTGCAGTAATATTAAGGTAGTAAGTCTTTTCTGCAGACGTTTTTAGGAGCCTTTTTGTGTGAGTGGTGGTGGGGCGTATAGTTTTGTTGAACCTAGTTAAATTCTGAACATCTTCCACTAAAAGCACAACAAATCTATTTACAGTGCTTGAAGCCTGGGAGGGCTGCATGAGTAAAAACTCGTGCGTGCTTTAGATTTGTTCCATTTACATTTTTCTTGGGATTTGTTGTGCTTAAACCCTCGCAGTTCCCACAGATCTGAAAAGAATGCATTTTGTACTGTAATACGTTAGAGAGAAGAGTGATATTGACTGTTTTACTTGTTTGAATAGCTGTTTTTATTACAAGGACATGAAACACAACATGTAAAATATCTTTAACCTGTGTTAGATAAGGCTAGGACTGTTTCACCACCCTGAATTTGAAGTTTGAAAAGTCTTAAAGTGGTAGGGTACCTACATTAAAAAAAAAAATGACTACGGGGCAGTTTTTCTCTTTTAAATCCTGGTAAATATTTGGTTTTTGAAGTCTTTAAAAGAGGAAAATGACTTTGAGCATCTTTATTCCTCTCCTCTGCCCTTTAAAGTTGGCATGGGGTTCAGGTGGTAGGAGGTAGGGAAGAACCCTAGACTTGGAATCACATCCCCCCTACTGCCTCCCC